TGGTTTTGGAGACACCATATGTCTTTCTTCATGTAAGCATGTGGGGTGATTGCGGCCACATGTTCCACACTTATGTCGTCTTCTGCATTTTTTTACAATGTGCCCTTTCCTGAGACACCCATAACAGAGCTGATTTTCTTGAATGAAGTTCTTCTTGTCTTCAATGGTTTTTTCTCCAAATGCAGAACATTGGACAATGCTGTGGTTTTCATCTTTACAGACAATGCATGATACTTTTGACTTTACGCTAGATGTATTAAGCCCTTTAGAACTGAACTCTTTCACGTCAGTCTTTGTACTGAGTGCCTTAGCTCGCTTGGGGAACTTTTCATCTGAATTTTTCATATTCATGAATGGGGAAGTAATGGGGTTACAAGCTATTCTAGTTTCCTTTTGCAAGAACTCTGTAAAACACTTGAAACTTGGATAGTCCCCTGATGCATCTAATTCTTCCGTCACAATTCGATTCCACTTGTGTACAACCCATTCAGGAAGTTTCTTTAGTAGCTTGTAGTTTTCTTCACAGTCATTTAGAATAGATAATCCCTTAATGTGTGGCATTGCCTCAGCACATCCTTGCAGGAAATCTGTGAAGTCTCGCAGTGCAAGTGGGTCATTTATTCCAATTTTGGGCCACCTCATCAGCTTGTCTCTAAAGGCTTTTTGTAGTATGAATGAATTCCCATATCTATCTTGCAGGACCTTCCATGCTCCATGGTATGCATCCTCTGAATTTCTATAGAAATATCCCTCCACAGCCTTACGAGCTTCTCCAACAAGGTACTTTTTAAGATAGAACATCTTCTCACCAGGTGGGAGGGGCTTTCTTTCTATAAGAGCTATGAAGGACATCTTCCAATCTATGAATTTCAATGGATCACCAGCGAAGATCATGGGTTCAGGCACAGGCAGTCGATGTGTGCTTAGTGAGTCTGCTATTGCTTGAGCTAAAGAAACATTATTCTGAGATGGCTGGGCTTCATGCTCTGCCTTGAATGTTTGCTGAGGCAAGAACAATTCAGCTTCTGGGTTTAACTGAAATCTGTGAATGCTAGAATCTATTTCTTTATCACCAAATTGACTGATCCCTTCAAGATCATTGTACACTTTCACACGAGCTGCTGCTACTTTTACTTCCTTGTCTACTTGCAACTGATGCAGCCGTTTTCTTTCTTCTTCAAGCTTTAGCTGCATTTCTACCTCTCTTTGCTTTATTTCTGCTAGCATTTTAGCTTCAGAAAGCTTCCATTCACTCTCCATTTTATTAAGCTTTGCTTGTTGATCATGGATTTCCTGCATAGCTTTAGCTTGCTCTTGTTTTGCTGCAAGTTCAGCTTCTGCTTCAGCTCGCTTACTTGATATCTTGAAAGAGGTCTTTGACTGATAACCTGATCCTAACGATGACTCTGACATCACTGTGTTTGTTTTTGTGCATCCAAAGATTGATCCATATTCATCTTTATNTAAGACTTGTCTCACTCTTCNCTTCACAAGCTCTTCATTGTAATCTTCACCTATTGTCTCCAGCCGCTTACTCACAAGATCAATAATTTCAGCAGTCAGTGCAGCACAAGCATCCATACGATTGACAATGTCTGGAGATGTAGCATGGTTACGCAATATTGGCTCATAATGCTGATGGACTAGATTACATTGATTTTGAATGTCTTGCTGAATTTGTTCTAGATTCTCACGTGAACAGAACATTTTTAATGTTGATCTACAATCTTTTGCAGTCTCTTTCCAACTGTTATAAGCTTTATGGAAAGCTTTCTCTTGTCGCTTGGCTTCCTGTTCACGCATTTCCAGACCCCTTTCTGTGAAGCTTCTTTCACGTGTGCTTGATCTGACCTGCTGCACAACTGGGTTGCTTATTTCTACTGTTGGGAGTGACATTTCATCTGCTTGTTTGACTGCATGCGCTTCTTCATGGGTACTATGTGTATCTTCCATAGCCTCTTCAGCGTGTACAGCTTCCATAATTAAAGAGGAACTTAAGCAGTGAATAATAACACTCTCACCAGACCTCTAGCACGTAAGCACCCAAATAAATTAGCAAACAAGATCAATATAAATGCAAACAGCAGTATATGACATCCAAAATATTAGCTTGTAACAGGAATAACAAGGAAATGTCAGTTTTCAAATAAGTACAGCTAACATTAACACTGATTGTAATTTTTCTAATGCTAAATAAAATAAATTAAGTTCTTTTTTTTTTTTTTTAAATTCTACTCAAATAATGTAATTCAAATCTTAAACTATGAAGTAAATGTTCTTTATAACATTATTTATTTGCTTTTATTTAAAGTCCTTTGTAAATGTAACCCTTTAACTCAAATGTCCATAAAATATTTGCTTTTCCTTTAAAGCATTAAAATTACTAAGTTCAAGATGACTTGATGCTGCTTACGTAGGAATATGTTGTTCTTAAACTCTCTTGCCACTCACTCAAAGTCTCCCACTGTATCTGCAACAGTGAATGACAGCACGCGCGCCACCTCCGACTAGTATGGGTAACTGCAGCCTCCGATCAGCCTGTGCGATGACGTCACGACCCTGCCAGCTGCCAGCCTGCGTCTGGATGAAACAGATGCGTGGTTCCTTTAAGCGTCGAGTTTCACTGTAGATGCCCTTTGGTTTCCATGAACGAGACAGAGAGTTTCTGACGGGTGCTTGATTCTTTATTTTGCTCAAGACGAGAGCCATTAAACTTTCGTTGCGTAGCACCGTGAAACTCGCTCCGCTTTCCCAAAGGGTTCTATTAAATAAATTGTGCAGGATTAAGCCTCCTTTTTCCGTAAATCGCACAGCAACGTGTGTTCTCTTCGCTCCTGCTAGCCTGATTAACCTATTAGTCACCTAGGCTACCGAAACACGTGACATGCTCTGATGCTCTAAAATTATTTAAAGGCATATAATGATTTAGTGGTCACTTACAGGCTAAACATTGTAGCTCAAAACGCAAAAACATTTGAACATTTCCTGTAGCTACCTCAGACACTATATAGTTTAGGGGGTTCACTTTAAAGAATGTTGCAAATATAATCCGTTTTCAAAGTGTGTAAAAAAGGGTTTGTGCATGTTTAGGCGCCGTGTGTGCGTGTGTGGGCGCATTTTGCTGACTTCTTTCCTTCTGTCCTTCTATAGGCATATAAACCTATTCTCACATGCTATGTAAACGTGTCTATATGCAGCTTATTTTAGCTTCTCTCAATCTTCTTTCCATTTTTCTTCTTGATCAGATGTAAACAAGTGCGGTGTTGTTCCACAAGATGGCGGCATATGCAGCAAATGTGTTGTCACTCCAGCGGTGTGACCTTTCCTTCATACCGAGAACCTGAGCCGACTTAAACATCATTTCTCCTGCTGAATAAAGTAGAGCTCTGTCATTTAACAGAAACACACAGCTCATCTGTTCAGGTCCATTAAAAACAAGCGAGTATGCGAAATAAAACGTGTTATGGATCTATCGGGGAAGAGGTGACTAGTGTATTTGTAAATGCCGGTTAAGCTATAAAAGAGCTGTGTGTGCACGAGGCATCTAATCTTGTAAAGTAGTCCGGTGTGCCAAGAGTGTAATGGTGATTTGGCTGGAATTTGAGAGATCCTATTGCTCTAACTGCCTAAACAGGGTTTCTCTGAGAAGACAGATGACCCCGAGTAAATTCATTATAGACCCGTGCGTCTCTGCGCATCAGAAAGCATGCTAAGCAAATATCTACAGAGACTGACATGACCTTGTCCTTGACATGAGCAGTCCAGATCTGCAATGATCTATTCTATTCTATTCTATTCTATTCTATTCTATTCTATTCTATTCTATTCTATTCTATTCTATTCTATTCTAGGCTAATTTATTCGATTTTGTTCTATTCTGATTGACTTTGGATTAGTCTCTGCTTTATCACAGCAGAATGAACCACCTGTATTCTATTTTATTCTATTCTGTTTTATTCTATTCTTGCTTCGGCTTAGTCCCTGCTTTATCAGGGGATGTCACAGCCGAATTATTCACCTCTTCTATTCTATTCTATTCTATTCTAATTTATTATATGCTAATTTATTCTATTCTGTTCTATTATGATTTACTTTGATTTAGTCTCTGCTTTATCAGTGTTGTCACAGCAGAATAAACTACCACTATTCTGTTTTTTGTTCTATTCTATTCTATTCTATTCTATTCTATTCTATTCCTACTTTGGGTGTAGTCCCTGCTTTATCAGGGGTCGCCACAGCAGAATAAACCACCTCTATTCTATTCTATTCTATTCTATTCTATTCTATTCTATTCTCACCTTATGGCATTTGTCAACAAATAAAATGTAATTCATTCATTCATTCATTCATTTAAAAATGAATGAACATACATTATAATGCTGGTTACCCTATTTGAACTCCGTATTTTTAAATAAATTATATGATTTATTAATTTATTCATCCATTCATTCATTCATTAAAAAATGGAATGAACATACATTATAATTCTGGTTACATCAATCGACCTTAAGGCATTTGTCAATAAATAATTTATTTCATTCATTCATTTATTCATTCATTCATTCATTTAAAAATGATTGAGCATATATTATAATGCTGGTGACCCAATTTGACCTCATGGCATTTTCAATAAATAATATAATTCATTCTTTCATTTAAAAGGGAATGAACACACAGTATAATGCAGGTTACCCCATGTGACCTCATGGATTTTTTTCAATAAATAATACATTTTATTCATTTGGTCATTTATTTATTCGTTCATTCATTCATTCATTCATTCATTCATTCATTCATTCATTCATTCATTCATTCATTCAAAAATGGAATGAACATACATTATAATGCTGGTTACATCATTTGACCTTATTTCATTTGTCAATAAATCATATACTTCATTCATTCATTAATTTATTCATTCATTCATTTAAAAATGATTGAGCATATATTTTAATGCTGGTTACCCAATTTGACCTTATGAGAAATTTTAATAAATAATATATTTAATTAATTCATTCTTTAATTTAAAAAGGAATGATTATGCATTATAATGCTGGTGATCCCATTTGACCTTATGGCAATTGTCAACAAATAATATATTTTATTCATTCATTCATTCATTCATTTACAAAGGAATGAAGCAATATTATAAAGCTGGTTAGCCCATTTGACCTTATGGCAGTTGTAAAAAAGAAAAAAAAAACACATTTTATCTGTTTATTTATTTATTCATTCATTCATTTAAAAGGAATGAACATACATTATACTGGTTACCTAATTTGACCTCCAGGCACTTGTTAATAAATAATATATTTTCTTAATTCATCAATTTATTTTTAAAAAGGAATAAGATACATCATAATTCCAGTATATAAATGTACTTTAAATGATTAAACATCGTTTGAAATAATGAATAAATTAAAACCATCTTTGGAGGAGACCAGCGCACTAACGTTGCGTAGCCTTCTAAATTTTGCATAGTAAATAATGCACTACCGGGACACTTCACTACCATCATCATCATCATCATCACCATCACACAGTCGCATAACGCTGGATTTATTCAACAGCTGAGGACGTGCAGCACCATCATCGTCGTCACCCGCTGGTCTGGGATCAGTCGATGCTGTGTGTGTGTGTGAGTGTGTGTGTGTGTGTGTGGCTGTGATGCAGGCATGAGTGTGTGTGTACAGGAGGTAAAGCAGCATGTGCGTGAGCTCTGCATCAGTGTGTCATTGACTCGGGCTCTGCAAGGATCTTCTGTCAGCATTGCGGTGAGTGGAGAAGTTGCCCGGGATAGTCGCTGTCCGGAGCTCACCTTTATTTATACACCGCAGTGACCGCTGTCATCCCTCCAAATTCAGCCGTTCATGCAAAACGGTAAGTCTACGATTTATGGTGATTTCACTATGAGTAACTACGGAGTTCAGCTACAGGTCTATGCGGGATCTTCTAGGATCAGTTTTCTAACTCGACATGCACTGATGTAGTACGGAGTAACACACAGGCTACAGCAGCTACTAGGTATACTTGCACTTTAATCCGGTTAGACTTTTTAGCATTGTGTAGCTGCTTACTTTTTATCAATGGATTAGTTCTTGGGATTTATTTAGAGTTTATAGCGATCTGACAAAAAAAAAAACACTGTAGTAAAAAAAGGCTTTTAAAGTAAGTAAAGTTAACCATATGAGTGAAAATGTAATGTATTTTACAGACTTTTAAAATAAGTTTTTGGTCATTTTTGTTAATAAAATACAGCATGCACTCTAAAAATAACTCAAGAGGTCTGTTACCACTGTTTATGTAGTTTAAAACATTATTGTTTATGTAGTTTAAAATGTTTATGTAGTTTAAAACTATGTATAAACTATGTTTATGTAGTTTTAAACATGTTTATGTAGTTTAAAACATTATTGTAACTTAAAAATTCTAAAATGCTGATTAGATTAACATTTTTAAGTTGCCAGAATAATTTTATAAAGTTTTTAAAAAATAAAAATATTGATAACCCCTATAGCAAAGTTTCTCTGGCCCAGATTTGGCCCACACTATCCGCATTTGCTTGGCCCACATGCTGCAGTAAGTTACTGTACATGACTGGACCAAGTCTGGCTTCCATACAAGAGGCAAACGTGGACCATCTGGGCCAAGTTTCAGCCAAGTTAATAACCCATAACTGGGCCTGAACTGGGCCAAATAGGTTGATGTGTCGCGACTGCAATGTTTTAATAAGCCCTTGAAGCATTTCGCTTTATGGCTGTGCTTTTTCTTGAATCAACCTGATTGATAGAATTTTTTCTTAACTCAAAGTAATTTAAATGTATTTAAAAAATGGATCAAGATAGACCCACATATACATTTTAACGCCTGGGCCAAATACTACTATCTGGCCCAAGTCTTGATTGCCGCCTGTAAGATGGTGCCACCTCAGCCAAACCTGGGCCATGTTTGGCCTACGTGCTGTATGCCAGTGCCGGATGAATGCCTGCTGTGCCAGCTTTATGCCAAATCTGGGCCAGAATTCTTTGCTACCTGGGTAACATCAATTTAAAAATGCTGCTAATTTAAAGGTAAATATATCTGTCAGGTACTTTAAAACAATATTTAACTTATAGCAACCCAAATAAATGTTTATACTGTTAATATGGGACAGTTCATGATTTTGTTTTGTAAAACAATGAAAACCTGTGGTTAAATGCAAATAACAAAATAACAAGCATGAACAGTAAACTTGAAAACAAACAAAAAATGAAACAATTTCAGCTACTTAATTTATTTGAGGTTCTATACTTGAAAACATATATGTAATTAAGTACATAACACTGGATTGTTTTCAATTTTAATTAAAAAACTAATTGAAAAAAAACTTATTTTTTTGAGTACTCGACTTAAAAAATTTTGCTATGTAAAACTGCCTCTGATTGAAGAGGAAAAGATTTGGCTAAAGTAATAAAGTTTGTTGTCTGAGCTTCATTTTGTTAGATGTTGTAGTAACTTGTATATATAATATAATATATACAGTTGAAGTCAGAATTATTAGCCCCCTTTAGATTGTTTTTTCTTTTTTAAATATTTCCCTAATGATGTTTAACAGAGCAAGGACATTTTCACAGTATGTCTGATAATATTTTTTCTTCTAGAGAAAGTCTTATTTGTTTTATTTCGGCTAGAATAAAAGCAGTTTTTAATTTTTTAAAAAACAATTTTGGGACAAAATTATTAGCCCCTTTAAGCTAATTTTTTTTTGATAGTCTACAGAACAAACCATCGTTATACAATAACTTTCCTAATTACCCTAACCTGCCTAGTTAACCTAATTAAACTAGTTAAGCATTTAAATGTCACTTTAAGCTAAATAAAAGGCTAATAATTCTATAATTATTAGTTCTTAATAATAATTAATAATTATAACAACAACAACAACAATAATAATAATAATAATAATAAGTATTATTATTATTATTATTAATAATAATAATAATAATGATAATAATAATAATACTTAATAATAATAATAATAATTAATAATAATAATTCTGACTTCAACTCTATACTATGTTGATTGTTCATTGTTTACATAAAAAATATGGATTTATGCAAGTGAATCATACAAATAACTTTCATAGCTTTGATTTACATGACAAAAAAAAAAGAGTAAAAATAAATTACATTTAAATAAATATAAATTTCACTCTGAGCCTGGTTGGATCACAAAATTAGTCATATGTTGCATATTTATATTATGTTGGTATTTATATCTTTAGGCAAAAGTCTAAAATACATTGTAGATCAACATTTCTTTTATGGCAAAAATTTTTACAATATTGAGTAAAGGTCATAGACACGATGGCTCACAGCAAGAAGGCTGTAGCAGTTGGCATTTCAGTGTGGTGTTTGCATGTTCCCCCCGAGTTCACATGGGTTTCCTCCAGGTGCTTTCCCCCACAGTGTGCGCTATAGAGGAACTGAATAAACTAAATTGGCTGTCGTGTATGTGTGTGAATGAGTGTGTATGGATGTTTCCCAGTACTGGGTTGCGGCTGAAACGGCATCCGCTGCGTAAAACATATGCCAGAATAGTAGTTGGTTCATTCCACTGTGGCGACCCCTCAACAGAAACACTGTAGTGTAAAATGTGGCCGGAAGTTGTTTTCATTTCTCTCACGCTTCTCTCCGTCCCTGTCACAGGTCGAGGGGAATATCTTGCACACAAACGCAGGGGATGTGTCCATTTTAAAGTGGAGATCTCCAGCTCTTAAGGAGACATGGGACTTGGACAGTCCAGGAGGACGTCGGTTAGCGATGAAGACCCAGCCGAGGGTGAGTGAGAGTGCTTTCAGAAACACAAACAATGTGTGTTCCAGCTTTGATTGCGCAAGTTTAAAACACTCTTATAAATGAATCCACATTAGCTGAATTTTTATTTAACAACCAAATAGGGCTGCACAATATATCGATATCGCAAAGTACACAGTAAAAAAATCTGTATAATAACAGTATTTTCAGATTTATGTTTTTTTATGTTTGTTTATGCTTTTGAATTGCGTCATGGGACCTTAATCTTTCTTTCAACAATGTTTAACCTTAAAAAGTTGGAAAAAGTTACTAGTTACTTAGTTACTAACTAAGTTATTAACGTTTTTAATGGTTTAAATAAGCAATATCACACGAGTAGCAGTGCGATATGGCTGTATATCAGCACTGGTGGAAGGTGTGTGTTGACACGAGGCCACCAGTGCTGATATACAGCCAAATCGCACTGCTACGAGTGTGATACTGCGTTTATACAACAGTTCGACGGCACAATTGTGTATATAAATAAGAAAATCAAACACAGAGAGACTAAAAACCCTTTTTTAATTGGAACTACTTTCTTATACGCCATTCATTCACATTTGCAGCTGGCTTCAGAACAGCAGAAGTCGTTACTAATTCCCCAACGTCACTTTAGAGCTAGTGTTTGAATGACTCTATAGCGTAATGTCTAAAGCAGGGGTCACCAATATCGGTCTTAGGCTTTAGCTCCAACTTGCCTCAACACACCTGCCTGGTTGTTTCAAGTATACCTAGCAAGACCTTGTTTAGCTTGTTCAGGTGTGTTTGATTAGGGTTGGAGCTAAAATCTGCAGGACACCGGTCCTTCAGGAACAAGTTTGGTGACCCTTGGTGTAAAACAGGGTTTTTCAAAGTCTAAGACAGCGGGCCTCCCTTTTGACACAACTTATCCATTGGCGCCCCCCTCCTCCCAAACACGCACGCACACACGCACGCATACGCACACAAACACACACAAAGTTCTGGAGGTTTTCCTGCTTCCTCATCATGCTTGGTTTCAAGGTGTCGCCGAAGTGCTGTCATTAGCCAAAATATCTTGTCAAACCACACATAAAGGTCGTGGTTCATCAGCTGGTCCTGTCCACGTAAATCCTAAACTCAAATACTGATCATCATATCGTCGTCTTTTGGGTTTTAGCTTTGAACTTGAACGCTTTAAATCGGGGGGTCTCCGATCCATTGTATTAGCAGCATAGACTGTAAATTAGCAGGCATATACCTGTATTGGCGGGCTTGCCAAACAGAAGCGAATTCACAGCTATGACCTTCTGGGTAAAAAAGGTTTTCTTATTTTTGACGTATTATTTTTTTTAGCTTTGTTTAATTAAAACGTTTAAAAATAATAAAAAATACATATAATAATTAAACTTAATAATATATTTTTATTATATAATATTTTTTCCAGCGCCTCCCCTGACATGCTCAGGCGCATCCCAGGGGAGGCGCGCCTCACACTTTAAAAAACCCCTGGTGTAAAATAATGACAAAGGAGCTCATTTTGCTCACACTTTTAGATTATAAAGGGTGAACGTGACATGAAATGCCATCCATCAACAGAGATATCTTCTTACTGTGTTACAGTCTACAGTATTTCTCTGTTGCAATCGGCATATGACAATAATTAATCCTGAAAAAAGCAGCACAATCACTACCAGACTGCTGTTGTGCTTGCGATAAGGAAAAACGCTTAACACAAGACACAAATTCCTGATATGTGAGCAAATCTGTATAAATTCAGCACTACAACATACAAAAGAGAGAGATTGACTTAGAATATCACTTACCAGCATACCTGCCAACATGTCTCTGAAAAGAGGACTGGGGAAAGGGGGTGTTCGGGGGTGAGGGCTCATTTGAGAACCGGGATAGGATGCAGCGGGTTTTGAGCGGCCACTGCGATCGGGTACTGCACCAAAGACTGTACCAAAAAGGGTGGTGGGTGAAATTACGGGAGTTTTACCGGAAGAAATAAAAAACAGGAGGGTTGCCGGAGATTGGTCTGAAATATGGGATTCTCCCAGGAAAAACGGGAGTGTTGGCAGGTATGAAAAACAAAGTTTGTTTTTGAACAGAAAAACTTCTGTAAATATAAAAAATATTAATAATTAAAAAGCAAAACAAGTATTGTAGATATTACATTCACCGGTTTCCCCCACAGTCCAAACACATGTGCTATAGGGGAATTGAGTAAGCTAAATTGGCTGTTGTGTATGAGTGTGAATTCAAGAGTGTATGGGTGTTTCCCAGTACTGGGTTGCAGCTGGAAAGACATCCGCTGTGTAAAACGTATGCTGGATAAGTTGACGGTTCATTCCGCTGCGGTGGTGATAAATAAAGGGACTAAGCTGAAAAATAAATGAATGAATGAATGAATGATTGAATGAGAGTGTGTATGCATAAAACATAACAAACTAATTACGAGCTTAAGTTAATACAATTTAAGAAAGATACAAATGAAATAAACAGTGCAGAAATTAAATAATCTAATGTAAAATATCACTTCATACAGTAGTCAACATTTAAAGTGCATCAAAACCTTTCAAAACTGTAGTTTTTGCTGCATAAATAATTAAATACAGTACAATTAATATTTCCTAAAGCTACAAATTTGACAATTTCTTGTGCCCAAATGCTTTAAATTCGCTTTAAATAGTACACGCTCACTGGACTTAAAAAACATTCTCTCTTTTAGAGTTAAACCTTGCGTGAAACTGTGATTTCTGGTTAATTATAATCCTTGGGGTGCTCTGGTTCCCCCCACAGTCCAAACCCATAGGTGAATTGAATAAGCTAAATTGGCTGTTGTGTATGTGTGTGAATGCAAGAGTGTATGGGTGTTTCCCAGTACTGGGTTGCAGCTGGAAGGAGATCCGTGGTGTAAAACATATGCTGGATAAGTTGACGGTTCATTCCGCTGTGGTGGCCCCTGATAAATAAAGGGACTGAGCCGAAAAGAAAATGAATAAATGAGTGAATGAATGAGAGTGCGTATGCATAAAACATAACAAACTAATTGCAAGCTTAAGTTAATACAATTTAAGAAAGATACAAATGAAATAAACAGTGCAGAAATTAAATAATCAAATGTAAAATATCACTTCATACAGTAGTCAACATTTTAAAGTGCATCAAAACCTTTCAAAACTGTAGTTTTTGCTGCATAAATAATTAAATACAGTACAATTAATGTTTCCTAAAGCTACAAATTTGACAATTTCTTGTGCCCAAATGCTTTAAATTCACTTTAAATATTACACGCTCACTGGACTTAAAAAACATTCTCTCTTTAAGAGTTAAACCTTGCATGAAACTGTGATTTCTGGTTAATTATAATCCTTGGGGTGCTCTGGTTCCCCCCACAGACCAAACACATATAGGTGTAACACAGGGAGTGACACAGACAACTGAAGTTTGGACCCACTTGCAGGTTTATTCGGAGGCAGGCAAGCAATGGTTAACACAGGTGCAAACACATGTATAAAGGCAGTCCAGAATCGTAGTCAAAAGTATCAGGCGAGAGGTCAAAAGGCAGGCGGCAGACAGCGACAAAATGGCTAACAAGGCTAAGGTCAAAACACGGGAAAACAAGACAAGGATAACTGTTGTACTGTCGCTTTACAGATGAACAAGACTCGCCAATGGGAGTGAGTGTGTGTGCTGCTTAAATAGTGTGTGTAGTCAGTCTTTGGCAATCTTCAGGTGGTGCGAGTGTAATCAGTCAGAATGAGGAAGCATGTGTGTTTGTGAGCGGAGTGCATGCATGAAAATGTAGTCCAGAAATGGCGGATTTGTAGTCCATGGTTATTGTGAATGAGATCCATCGACCTTAGGAGTTACGATTGCTGGTGATTGGTGGGGAATTGAGTAAGCTAAATTGTCCGTGGTGTATGTGTGTGAATGAGAGTGTATGGGTGTTTCCCAGTGCTGGGTTGCAGCTGGAAGGACATCCGCCGTGTAAAACTTATGCTGGATAAGTTGGCGGTTCATTCCGCTGTGGTGGCTGCTGAATAATAAAGGGACTGAGCCGAAAAGAATATGAATGAATGATGGAATGTGACTATAGCAGGTTGGCACAATGCGTTGTTGATGTTGAAATGATATATTGTGCAGCTCTACACAGCAGTACTGTAAAAGCTGTACACCTTCTACCACTCCGCAAGTCAAACAACAGCTTTTTGTGCGAGAAAAAGACTTTAAAGACAGAATTTTCGCAGGCTAAACCAATGAACCGGAGCTGAAGCTGTTGACTGCAGAAAGTCGTTTGCTGAGCTTCTCATAAATCTGTCTTTGGAGTTAGCTCTAAAAATTTACAACCCAGATTCCAATACACCTGTGTGTGTGTGTGAGAGAGAGTGTGTGTGTGTGTGTGTGTGTGTGTGTGTGTGTGTGTGTGTATGCGAGTCAAAGAAAGAGATGGGCCATCAGGTATACAAATAGCCGATTGGCCCATTTTGTAAGGTGATTGTGTAAGTGTGTATGCAGCCTTGCAGACAATTAGCACAAAAGCAAACAACTATTAAACTGGATTTTTCACAAGTCATGAACAAAGTTATCGTCTATAGGAAATTCACACAGATGGTGTGGAGGTGTTTTGGTGACTTTATTCCAACATAAATCTGTAAGCATCAGGGCCGGATTAACCAATGGGCCTTATGGGCACAGGCCCAGGGGCCCGTGCGCACCAGGGGCCCCTGCGAGGGGGGAGAAAAAAAGACAATTTCGGAGTGTCTTTTTAGGCTAATTGCAAATAGCGCATCTAGTTGGACTAAACTATTCAGGGTTTACGCCCATCGATGCCTGATTGATAGAGATAAGATGAGTAAAGAGCAGTGTAATAATATAGCCGCAGTGGCGCACCTTGTAAGGCACACGGCATCATCTTTTGACGCGATTAATCATAACATCGGTTCGAATCCACCATCAGCTGAACTCGTGCTACTTTTATTTCTCCCCATTACATATCAGATTGGAAATATATTTATTTT